ATGCTCGGGGTCCACTACCCGAGCTCACTTTTATGCCCTCTTTTTTTTAGCAGCATAGCTGCATCCTAAAAAACAATAGACAGCTGGAGACAGATGGGGAGGACAAGGAAATAAGCAGACGGTATCTGTTACAGTAGAAGGTGGTGATCTCATTACACTAACAGCCTCCATTCTCACAAGTTATCTTTAGGCATTGCTGAAAAAGAGGCCTAAAAGGGAGACAGAAGGTGACTATGACGATTTCTTCCATATTTAAGAAGGAAACTCAGAAGTACTTGCTTGCACATTTGCCAGACTGGTAGTGGACATTGGCATCATGGTTGATCAGAGATAGAAATCAACCTCTAAATACCAAAGAGGAGATGAGGGCCTGAAAAGGCTTGTACAGTACAGACCAGCAGATGCTATCTGGTGCAGTATTACAAAGAGAGCTAGTAAAGGGCTGTAAAGAGAGAAATAATGCAAAGAGAGGATGATGTGGTCAATGCACCACGTTAGGAAGAGGGATATTTTTGCAGCATTTTGATTGGTTATGCTGATTGGCATGCTGAAGTTTCTCAGGGCACAAGAAAAGAATGTTACGCTAATCAAGAAAAGAAACTGGAAGTGTAAGAAACCACCTATGCCACTGGCTTGTGTCCCTTCCAGTCACAGGATAACCTTCCTCAATCACCAGGGTCATTTGATCTAGAAAAGTACAAAGAACACCCAGTCAAACCCTTCCACTTTCACATGGACACGCTGCTAACACTACTGCATACCGTAAATCACGGAACAGCCTCTTCCCCGCTCGCAGCTTCCTCGCTGAGAATTTCAACTGTGGAGGTCTGGGAAGATCACTTCACTGAAATTTGTCCAAAGAAGAATCTGCAGGACATGGATGTAGACTGGATGTGTGAGCTGAGAGCAAAGCAATTAAAATATTTCTTCTCCAAATTCTGTTGAAACTTGCCACAGTACCGCTGTAGATGAGAAAGCAAACTGGAGCTAGAAGGACCTTTTGTGGTTTAAATAATTTAATTCATCCTAAAATAGTTTTGGCCAACTTAAAATTGTTCCTGTGCATAATTCTGGGCTGAAATTGATTTGGGGCTTGAGGTGTACAAATTAAAAAAAAAATTGTTGGACTCTCCCTTTCATCTGCAACTCAGTAATTAATGCATTCATTTGAAATAGGGAAGATTCACAGCTCTAAGGGTGACTTGAATCCATGTTTTGAATCCCAGGGCTGACCCTCACAGGAGGAATATTTTATCTCTGAGGCTGAACTTAAGGATGCCTCTTGCCTGGCTCTGTCGTTCCTTACAAAGGAAAAATAGATGGTTTTTTGGCTGCCCTGTAATTCTAACCTTAAATGAATGGTAGGAAATATATTTGCTATTAGTTTGCTTAGGAAAAGATGTTATAGGATTTAATCCTTCCCCCGTGCTGTGGGAAGAAGGTTTCCACTAACTAGGACGAGGACACAGAACTAGCTGAGCAGAACGGACAAAGTGGAACATGTAATTCCAGTTGCAATTCACTCAATGGGCACTTGACACTGGGTTCACTGGAGTCAGGAAGAGCCTCTTCAGGTTGTAAAATAAATGTTTTATCCACTTTCCCATAAATCGAGACTCTGGCATGTTCCCAGGAAACACGTTACACAGACTTTCTCAGATATCTTTGTCTCCAGAACATAAAAGAGAAGTGAAACAAGGGTGGCGAGGCAAGTCCTGCAATCAGCTGTGATGTGACTCCTTTTGGGGTGAGGCTTCTTCTCCCATGGGGCTTGGCTTGGCAGGAACATGTGAATTGTAATAATAATAATTTCCAATAAAATCATTGCCTGCTTCCCCCCAAATAAACACAACATTCTAAAGGAAGTTTGCTACACCCACTAAATCCTTAGGGGAAAATAAAGAGAGAGGATGAATGAGAAAACTAGTCCCAGCACATTAGCAGGTGAAAGAACAACTTTGTTAAGAATGGGACTCACCCAAAGCAGTTAGAGGATGTTAGCTCTGGTTATTTTAAGGAAAAGATTACAGAGAAAAGGGTGGGGCTGAGGGTGCTGGTTTCAGATAAAAATCACGCGTAAATGAGTACAAAAAGCCTTACATTACAATACCACCTTCCACAGCTTTGGCTGAGCACATTCCAAGAAGTCCCTTTGGCTTTGAAATAAAATTATGAAAATGCATCGAGCACTCCTCTTGTCATTTCACTCCTGTAAATTTGGAGTGACTCCATTCGTAGCAGTGACATTTCTCCTTGTTTTCAGCATTGCAAGAATAGAATTTGGTCTAGAAGCCTTTAAATTCCACTGTCTGATTCAAAGGTGACCTCTTAGCCAGGCTTCTGTTGCATCAGCTTTGTTTGATGCTCTTCCTTTGATTTCTGGGTCCCTGAACTATTGCTGAATTCATCAATGCACAAGCGGAGAAAAAAGAAATGCAATAAATGAGAAAGGGTGAAATATGAGAATATCACTCTCGCCAAAGTGGGAAAGAAGATCCTCTCCCTGAAATGGAAATACCCATTTGCAATTGTCTGTCAATAACATTATTTGTCAGAGGTTATTATTGTAAGGCTTGCTAACTTTGGAAAGGAGTGGAACAAAAACACCTCACTCCCACAACCAAGCAAGAGGCGGGCAAGAGAGAGAGAAACAAAACATCAAGGCTTATTTGATTTATTGTGTACAGGGACTCAATACTGCAATGATGCGTATTATAAAACATGGCTTTAGAGACTCATCTTGCCTTTCACTAGGATACATCAGTGATTCTACTGTTAATTACAAATGTAAGCATGAGTGACAGGTCTAGGTTGAACATCACTTTTCTCAAACAAAGCTTATATCCCTGGATGGGACTGGGAGGTCTAAGGGCAGGACTGCACCCTTCAGCCCATGGACTCGCTTGGTGCGCTGCGGTGTTGCTTCTCCACAACCAGCACTGTGGAGCTTTTGAGACAGAAGCCAAACACTCCACTTAGGCTGATTCCTTGAGTGGCGCTCTGCAGGACTGCAGCCAGAGCATCTCAAGAGGGCCGTTTATGAGCATCTGCCAGCTCCCGGTGAGATTCAAATGCTGTAGGAGATGGGAGTGACCACCTCACCCAAACGCGCCAACAGTATGTTGACTGTTTGAAAGGCAGTGTGTCCTTGTTCCAGTAGTTTCTTCTGGCACTGTTAATGCTTATTTGGAAAAGGAATATTCAGCCAGGCACACTGCTCTGTTTCAAATCCTGAGCATTGGAATAGCTGCAACTTCCAGACCCTCCGCTCTTGCTCTGCCTTTTTTCCTCTGGGGCACATACTGTACACAACTGTGAAGGTTGCAGTGCCTTTTACTGGCGAGCAATCAGTACTTTTATTTTATTCATGTACCTTGTATTTCATGGTGGCCCTTCTATCAGAAATCTCAGCCCTATAGCTAATGCCAGGACATCACTGACCTCCAGGAATGGACTCTAGAAAGGAGTTCTGGAATTGAATTAATTTAAATTAATTGTAGATATCTGTAATACAGATATCAACATCCAAACTCATTGCTGCAGGGTCCCTCTAGAGTTCGGATTAAACTAGAGACTCCCAGGGTGAAATTCAGCTGACCTGTTTTAGGCTTCTCTTCAGAATTAGTGCTTGTTGACTACAGAGTCTGATGAGGGGACCGAGGTTGGATGTGGACAATTCCACTTGCTCACCTGCATACAATGTTCCCATTAAGATGATCTAGAAGAGAGATAGTTTTTTTGTTTTTTGTTTTTTTTTTTTTTGCATTTTTAAGTACCACTCACTAGTCTCACAACAGTTTTGAGATCCACTGCAACCTCCAGACCTTTTTCTAAACTGCTCTTCAGCCAACTGTTCCCCCTGTTTGTTTTCCCATCCTGCAGCGTACCTGCAACTTTCTTCACAGTGGTCTCACCACAGATTTTATTAACGGTAATGGAAATTTACCCAGACCTGGCCCGTATTCGGTACAAGCCTTTATCACCCGTGAACTAACGACGCCGTGCTTGCCTGAGCACTGCCTTTGAGGGAGAAATCTCGATGTGCGGAGACGACCCCTCTTCCCCACCCGCAGGCAACCACCCCGCTTCCTGCTCGGGTGCGTGCTCTGAGTTTGTCTGAGCTCGGCTTGCTTCCTCGGGAGGGGTTTGTTTTTCCCGGGTAGATTAAAGAGGCCTTTGCTACCCTGCGCTTTTTCCCGTGAAGATATTTGTACACTGAATGAAACCTCTTCTCCACCTTCTTGATAAACCAGATGGACTGCTCTTCTCGTTAATTTATTTTTTTTCCCCTGTAGTTCACGGCTGATGAAGCGTTTCTCGTGCTCTTTTCTGCCCTACAGCCCCCAGGCCTGGCAGCGGGGCGCCCTCCTCCCCACGCGGGGCAACAGGGTCCGGCGCCCCCACAAGCAGGCCGCGG